GCCACTGTGCCCCTTGAATCAGAACAGGACAAGAAGGTTTGGAGCAGGTAGCCTAAGGCAGAGATCCAAGGCTTCCTTTCTTCCTAGCTCTGTGGACATGGACACATTTCTTAACTTCCATACGACTTGCCTTCCCCATCTGTGAAATGAGGCCACCCACCGTTTCATGTAAGGTACCCACCCCAGAGGTTTCGGAGGGATGAAATGGGGTAACACCGGACAGTGCTCAGGAGAAAGCATGGTGCAGTGTAATTTCTGGATATGTGGTATACATCATCTCTACAATCAGCCTCAGAAAGTGACCTTTCTGAATTTAGTTTGGGTGGAGATAGGGTGGTGTAGAATGAAGGCTTTTGTCAAAATGTGCCTCATAGCATTGAGACATTTCTCCCACCCAACGCCCCAGCATGCCCTGATTTTTGACCTTTGCTGGCCATATCCACTGACATGGAAATGGTGCAGCTTGTGGACCCCAGGGAGAACTAATGGAGGTCTTGCTGACCGAGGAGGCCTTCAGGGCCCTTTCTTTCTCTGTGCACTTAGGTGGGGAGAGTATTTTGCCAGTATGGGCCCTGGCCAAAGGCTTATATTTGTCTTGCTTCCTTTGCATTCTTGTTTGGAGTGTCTAACTTCTGAGCTGATAAGCTGGATGGAGAATTCTAAAAGCACGTTAGAACAAAAAGGAACTTTATTATCTCATCCCACCCCTATATTTTACCAATAAGGAAGCTGAAGTGGAAGAAATGTCTTTTCTTTCAGAGAGCTATTTTTTTTTTTTTTTTTGATCCTTGACTTTCTTTCTTTGGGCCCTGGCTGCCAGCCATGATCTTGACTGTAGCTCTATAGCTCCTTAAATTGATACAGGCAGCCTCTGGCTTGCTCCTGGGAGGGACCTGGGCCATGTCTAACCAGAGCCTGTTTTTCTGTTTGCCCCCAGAATTCATTCTGTTTCCTGCAAAGACAGAGCTCTGATTTGCATTGCCCCCCTTTATCCACCCCTCTCCACTGTGATTAAGGCTCCTGCTGGCTCTTGCTCTTTCCTTTGCCCTCCCTGAGTTCTCGGGGTGGGGGTGGGAGTATTCTGGCCAGACTGAGTTGAGATTCTGGAAGGCTCCACGATAAGGGAAGAGGCCCAGCCTTGTCAGATGGAGAGCAAGCAGGAGCCAAACTGGCTGGAGGCCTGTCAGGCTGGATTGATAATGATGCTATGTGTCTGAGGTAGCACAGCCAGGGCAGTGCTGGCCAAATGACCCCAGAGAGGGAACAGCTGCAGCTGAGAGCTCCCATCACTGGGCGAGGCAGAGGCATGAGGCACACACCAGGGGGGCAGCTTTACTTTGAGAATCTCACACACACACATTCATATACATACTGCATAGAATACAAGAATACACAGAATACGAGAATAAGATACAAATGGAAACTGAGGCCCAAAGAGAAAGAAGAAACTAGCAGCTTGTCTTTATGTGGGCTTCTGCCATGAGCTGTTCTATTTCAGGCCACCATCCTGCTAGCTGGTTGACAAGCAGAACGACTTAAAATACCTGTCCTAAGCTTACTGGCTTAGCCTGCCTCTGAGGACTGAGGTACAGCCCTCCCTCAGCCATGTCACTGTGGTGAGCAGCACGTAGCATTCGGTGTGGGGGCCATCAGATCCCTCCGTCAGTGCTGCGCACGTGGAAGGAAGGTGGAGAGGGCGTGGGCAGCCCAGGCGGTGAGGTCGGAGGGAGGAGGCAGGGGACAAGCCCACACTGAACAGCCGGGACATTTTCACTTTACAATAATGTCTGTTTTCCTGAGTATAAAACTTAATATCTATCCAAAGTATGGAAGTTTTAAACTGCAAAAAAATTACCAAGTTGGAGGGAAAGTTACCTGTAATTCCATTTCCCAGAGGTGATAGGTTAATTGCACGCAGGTGCAATTTTTAATAGGTGAAACTGGATGAATATCAGCGATTTTATAATATTGGTACATTTTCTTCCTCACATTTTTCTATTTCTTTAAAAAATAGTTTTGGGATTATGATGTAAATACAAGTGTATTCCCAACTTCTTTTCATAAAACATTACACTATAAGCATTTTCCCCATATTCCTCTAGGTAGTATTTTTATTAGTTACACAATATTCTATCAATTGAAAATACCAAGGGCATTTTCCAAGTCCCAGGCTTTACTGTTCTAGCTCCTGTGCTCCTTGGCCCAAGGAAAGAAAGAGCCTCATTCCTGGCATTTTCATGGCCAAGGAGTAGCCTGGGATCAGCTCCCAGCAGGGCTGGGGAGACAGCTCTGATGACAGGCTGGAGGACAGCTGGCCCCCATCGCTCAGTGGGACACGTGCTGAGTGCAGACGGAGGACCCCTGAGAGGCTGGGCAGAGTGGGGAGAGCGGCGTTCTCTCTGCCGGAGACCAAAATAGGGTCCTGGAGGAGAGTCAGATTCCAGCCAGAGGCTTCTCTTGCCCAGAAAGGATTATTTCAAGTGTATTTATTTCACCGCTGACAGATCTGCAGCCTCTGTGTTAACTGAGCAGGGTCGACCTGAGACGCTGGCTTTCCCTCCAAGGCGTTTTCTCTGCCTTAGCCTCCCCCACGGTCAGCTTCAGGGTCAGAGCCACCCTTTGGGCGAGGCAGAAACTGTCCCCTTTGACCATACTTCCCATGATGGCCCTGTACCCAGCTGGTTTCTAGTGAAAATGAGAGGGTGACAGGAAGGGAGGGGGGAGGGAGGAAGAGAGAGAGGGGAGGGAAGAGTCCCTCTCTGCTTCTGGTGCCCATACCGCCCATCGGTCAATAGGAAAGTCACAGAACCACTGTGAGCCTCAGTCTTCTCATATGTAAAATAGGCGTCATGGTCCTCACCACGCAGGGTTGTTGCGGGGCTTAAATAAGTTGCTGCTCTGGGACTCGTAGTGCAGTTCCTGGCCTGTGGTGGGCCCTCCGTCACTCACTGTTGCTGCTTTCTTACCTCCTCACTCTCCCCCCTCTTGAGTGTAGGAAGGAGTGTCTAGTAATATAACTTTAATGAACACGTTGACACTATTGAGCATTTACTATTCACTCAACAAGTATTTATGGAGGGCCTACTATGTGCCAGTTACTTTTCCAAGCACTGGGAATACAGCAGTAAAGGACAGTAAGCTCTGTCTTCATGGAGTACCCACATCCATTCTACCAGGGGAGGAAGACAATAAGCAATTACTATAAGCAAACAGATAGACAATAAGGGCACTGTATAGCAAGTGGAGATATGCACCGTGAAGAAAACCGTGGCAGGGTAAGGAATGGACGGGGACGGAGAGGGGTGGAGAGAGACAGTGGGTGCTCTTGGACGCAGGGCATGCGTGCCAGCCATCATCGGAGTACCAAACATCCAGGACTTACTGTTTAAAAAAGCACTTGTGGACTTGAAAAGGACAGCTCCAAGCACCAGGACGGTGACAGTTCTCTTACTTTGCAGGTGGGAGGTCAGAGCTGGAAAGGGGTGGGACGCGGAGGCTCAGAGAGCCGGGAGGGCTGGCTTCACTGTTCCAAGTGCTGTCAGCTGCGGAGGGGAACGATGGTGCTGGGCAAGGACTTTTAAAAACTAAGCCGCAGGCTTGGCATATTAATTAACTCAATCCCCCACAGGGATTGAGTTACCTCCTTTGGGGGATTGAGTTAATCAGTTCCGAAGATAATCGCCTCGTTAGCTTACCACCTTCCCTGGGCAGGGCAGAGGGTCAGGAGCCAAAGCCCTCAGAGACGAGGCTCAGGGGAAAGCAGAGGCTTGTAGTGTGTGAAGGGACAGTTGTTTCTACCCAGAAGGACCAGCAGGTCAGGGCGGTTCTTGCCCAAGCCTTGCTTCCACTTAAGGGTAAATCTGGAGCCCTCTGAACAGTGTTCTTTCCACTGGGCACAAGGTTTGGGACCATGGTCACTCAGAGAAAACAATTTTATGTGTGTTTTGCTGCCGGGGGCAGCTTGGACAAGGTTATGCTGCCTCTGTGGGGTATGTGTACACGCAGCTAAAAGAACAAGGGCCATGGTTTCTGGCCGTGAGCTTTTTCTCGGCGATCTCTACCCTCCTGTGAAGCCCACGGTGTTCATTTCTGTCTCTTGTCTCACTCCAGCACGTAGGCAAGGAGCCCTTGTCCTCAGCCCCAGGGCTGCATGCTTTCCCGGCCTTGGGACTGCCTGCCTATAGAGTCCTATTAGGTTGGGGACCCCAGGATTCTCTCCTGTGGGTAGAGAATGCCAAACAGGACCCTCAGGTCCCAGATATCAGGGTTGGAAGGTTTTACAGGTGATGTAAATGTCACCAGAATGTTGGCTTCCTGACTTCAGAGCCGTTTTGTTCACTATTATAACCCCAGAGGCCAGAACAGGGTCTTAGAACAGGGTTCTGCACTACAGAACACAGTACAAGCTGTGTTCTGTACATCCATCAGTATCTGGTGAATGATTAAATGACTCTTCCAATTTCCACTCAACATACAAAGGAGAAAACTGAGCCCAGAATGTGAGTTGACAAAGCTAGGACTGAAGCCCCCAGATTCCCTTCCTGTTTGACTGTCCCCTCTTCAGAAATGCAATTTCCCCCAGGCTTCCAGGCTTAAGTGAGATGAGACATAAAACTCTGCAGCCTGTATTTAGCACGTACAGAGCAGATGCTAAATAAATGTGCTTTTCCTTTTTTCCCCCCCCCCTTGGCACGGTTTTCAAGTTTCTCTTTGAGGCAAATACCAGAGATGTTTTTCTACTACCTCAGACCTCTTTCCTAATCCTGACATCTATTTACTATTCACTTAGCTACGTCTCAGGGTGAACACGGAGGAATCACATTAAAAGATGATCAATAGCCGTGTTTTAAGGGGTGAATCCTTCCAAGCGTATTGATGAAATGGGCAGATCCCTGTGGGGGGAGGGTTTGCATGGAGGGAAGGTCCTGGGCTCTCTGGACACAAGGGGAGAACTCTACCTGGACCCCACCCCTGAATCTGCTGCCCCCCTGTCCCCGCAGTGGCAGATGAAATGCTGCAAGTGCGACTCCAGGTTGCGTCACAATTACAACAGTCACCGAGTGGAGAACGTGGTTTCGTCTTCGGGCCCCACGCGCTGGTGGCAGTCACAGAACGGTAAAGGCCTGCCAGCTCTGGGGGCTGCACTTGTGGAGGCTTCCACAGCTGGGGGTGGCTGGAGGGTGCCTGGGCACTCAGGTTTCCCAGACATTTCTTGTGGCTCCGGACTGTGGTGGTTGACAAGCAGAAGCTTTGTCTCCAGCTCTGAGGCCTTTCAGAGGTTGCAGGGATTCCATTCCCCTTACCCACCATGGGCTGGTTCGGAGAATCGAGTGCTGGGAGCAGGTCTGTGTTGAATGGACAAGTTGAAACCCTTTAAGGTATCAGGAGTCATGATGGGTAGGAGGAAGTCTGGCCCAAACAGATAGGATCTTGAATAGATAACATTGGTGGAAAGGTGCTGGTGCCAGGTCTCCCCAGAGGGAGGTCGGGGAGCCAAGTTAGAGGATGTCTGACCTCCTGGAGCTGGTATGGTCCAGGGCCTTCTTCAGGCTGGGAAGGTGGAAATTCTCTGGTCTGAGGTTCCTACTTTTCGTCCTTCTAGATGCAAACCCTGTCTCTCTGCAGCTGGATTTGGACAGGAGATTCCAGCTTCGAGACATCACAGTGGACTTTAAGGTGTGCTTCCTGGGGATTGCAAGGGCTAGGAGTGGGGACACTGGGTGGTGGGCGCTGAGTCACGGGAAGCAGAGTTCTAGTCGGCCTGGGCTGGGGTGATGGCACCACACACTGGGGGACATTCACCCTGAGACTGTGTAATGGTGACACGAGAGGCCCCACTCTGGGGAGGACAGTGGCACCCCCCGGGCGCCCTGTCTTTGCCGTGCGGTGGTTATATATCCACTTCCTCTTTGCCTCCCTCGCCTTCAACACTTCTAAGTGATTCAGCTCTGCCAAGCACCAGTTCTTCCGGGCTTGTCACTTGGACGTTGTGTCTTCTCAGTCCACTGTTTTAATAAGTTTGCGGATGACACTGAGTTGAACAAACAGCTGGGAACTGGTCCATTGATCCACGTGAAGATGTGTGTTTGGAGTAGCCCTTCTGGTGAGCTCCCTGCTCATTCAGGGCTCTTACTTCCCAAAGTACTTTGGGGTCTGGCTTTAAGGCTGGCCTCCTGAGAGGCGCTCCTCTTGGAGGGAGCACTTTTATTCACCTGTGACTGGTTATATTTTTCTTTGTTTCAGAGATTTGATTTCTACAGAAATAGTCAAATATTTAAGGAGGAAGTTTGGTTATTAAGATTAGATGGTCAGGAAGGGCGAGTTAAACTCATTTTAACTCCTCATTTTCAGGAGTTAAAATGAGCTGTGAATAAAAAGCAATCGAACCAAATTTCTTGGGTTAACACCCAATTTCTAAGGTGCCAGCTTTGAAGGGTGACATTCATTTGGATGGATACCATTAGTTTCATTGTGTTATTATCATTCCTCGTTTATGGATTTGTCCATTCTTGCTACAGACATGTATAGAACACTGATTATATGTTAGGTTTGCTGCCAGATGTCAGGATTTAAAGATAAATAAAGCTAAATCACAATCCTCGTGTTGCCTGAGTACATGCAGGGAAGATGCTTCGGCCACTGAGGCCTCACCTTGTCTGCGTCTCTGCAGGGCCGCCTGCCCGCCGGGATGCTGATTGAGCGCTCCTCGGACTTCGGTAAGACCTGGCAGGTGTACCAGTATCTGGCTGCTGACTGCACGTCTGCCTTTCCCCGAGTCCACCAGGGCCAGCCTCAGAGCTGGCGGGACGCTCGGTGCCGGTCTCTGCCCCAGAGGACTAACGCGCACCAAGATGGGGGCAAGGTAAGTGGAAAGGACCCCGAAAGTATGGCCACAGAGAGTATCTGCCTTCACTTCACTCACACCTTCACCCAGACACTGAGAAGAGATAACAGACTCAGGCAGTGCTCTTAGCTGTCTTTCCTGACCTCTGCATCCTCCGAACATTTGCGGCTTGTCCTCTTGGCCACCCAGGAAGGGTATTTCAGAAACATACTGAGTGCACTGCATGACCCAGCCCTGCCCTTTGCCATGGTTGCCTCCCACACAGCTCTCGGCCTGTCCCCATGGTGGAGAGGGTCCAGCCGACTTTGAGATGGCTACTTAGAGTCAAGTGAGCAAATGACACACATTTAATTTAATCTCTGATTTTACTTAGGTAGCGTTTAACATGAGAACGAACATTTCCATTTAATCCATTCATCTAGCCCCATCCTTGGCCTTGAGGAAAGTCAGGTATAAGCCACAGCTCCAGATCACTGAAACTTGAACCCTGAACCAGGAATGAGAACCCACCTGTAGAAACAGCTTAGAATGCTTTTCCCCCAGAATCCTCCCACCCAGGATCAAATTCTTCCATTTCTTCCGTAAACTGCTCTCCCCACCGCCAGCAGGAGGCCGTTTGTTCTTTCTCTGGCCTGGGCTCAGGCGAGCCCTCAGAGCTACTCTGATGGGTCTAGTGCTTTGAGGGTCGCCTTGCCAGTGGACAGTGCAGCTCTGTCCTTGGCTGTACAGCTGCCCCTTGGTCATAATCACACCCAGAGCCACGAGGGCCACATTCTCCAGAGCCCGGATCAGAATACAAGACTTTTTCCTGATGTGCGGAAGGTTGATGTGAAAACTATTCTTTGGGATGTAAGATAAAGTCACATCCAATAAGTGATTATTATTAAAAAGAAAAAACCTAGCTGAAACCCACATATCTCTGGGCTCTGGGTCCTGTCATTCATTCATTCATCCTGCGTTTTGGGGAAATTGGTATTTCCTAAGCCCCTTTTTTGTATATTATATATCTTACTGTCATTTCTGACCCAAGGAAATCAGAAAGTTCTTGGGACGGCTATATTTTCAGTGGAGAGGAGAGATGGTACACACACACGCACACACTCATTCAGGGCCCAGGGGTCGTCTTGCTCTCCGAGGGCTGTTGGCAGCCTCACATCCATGGGGGTCTCAGATTCCAGCTTGGAAGGACCTTGGTGTAGCATGAGAAAGGCAGGGTACTGAATGGAAAGGAGGCTTCTGGGCTTGGGAATATATTCCACCTCCTCCTCAGAGCCTCCCTCTTTCCTCTCTTTGTAGGTCCAGCTTAACCTTATGGATTTAGCCTCTAGGATTCCAGCAACTCAAAGCCAAAAAATTCAAGGTCGGTGTGGCTGACCCTCTAGCCTTTTGGGACTGTGGGTGGGAAACAGAACAGGGTTGGAACCCAGTTCGTGAAAGTGTCCTGGTCTACGGTATTTCTGACAACATGGCTGAATTGAATACCTACTTGCCTGTTTACCTCATAGGGGTACCACGGTAGTCCCAGAGACGCAAAAGACCCATGTTGGAGTGTTTGTGTGTGTCTTTTCTGCCTTAGAGGGTTGAGGATGGGAAGGACAGCCCTGGGGATGACCTTGAGAAGGCAGAGAAGGGATGCTGTAGCCGGAATTCCTTCCCTTTTCCACCCTGCCCTTGAACCCTCTGTTAGCCTCTAATGTCCTTTCTTTATTGTCTTTCCCCAACCCCCTTCCTTCCTGTGTCTGCCCCTCTCAGAGCTGGGGGAGATCACAAACTTGAGAATCAACTTTACCAGGCTGGCACCTGTACCCCAGAGGGGCCAATTTCCCCCCAGTGCCTACTATGCAGTGTCCCAGCTGCGTCTGCAAGGGAGCTGCTTCTGCCATGGCCATGCTGACCGCTGCGCCCCTGAGCCCGGAGCGCCCGCAGGCCCCTCCACCACGGTGAAGGTGACAGTCCGGGGTGGGAAGGGCACAGAGAAAGGGGCAGACGAGCACAACTAAGGCCATCTGGGAGGCTCCTCTAAAGCAGGGTGGGCACTAAATTTAAGTCTGATGATCATTTCAAAGGTCAGGCGTTTGTAGCACTCCCTTAGGTCTGCATTAGGGTATTTTCAGTTGCATGTGAGACATGAGTGGGTGTTGTGGGGAGTGTAAGGCCAACTTCTCAACCCTGACTCCACATGATAATTTCCTGGGGAGCTGAAAATATTGCACAGACTTTTACTGTTTTAAAGCTTTGAGGTGACTCTAATGTACTGCCAGGGTTGAGAGCTCCTGGTTTGGGGACAGTAGCGTCCCATCTAGTGGTGAGAGACAGGGCAGGGTGAGAGAACAGAGTCTAACACATGCATGCTAAGTGTGCCCCAGACCAGCTGAGTTGGACCATCAAGGGTGGAGGGAGGGGGCGCTGCAGCCTATTCAGCAGCCCAGGGGCTTTTGCTGTGAAACCAAATTTGAGAACCGCCAGTGGAGGAGAACCCTGGGCCCAGAAGCAGAGGGAGCTGTCGTTTCATTGTTCTGGGGCTTCAGTTCTGTTGACATATGGTAGCATGCTATTGGCCCTGCCCATACACGGGTGCCAAAAATTCATGTAATACAGCCTGGGAAGGAAATACAGGTGAAATGAACATCAGTCAGCTTTATTCTTTCCACTGCCGGCCAGCTCTTGCCCTGGGCTGCAGAGGAGGCCAGAGAGAGACCGGCCCCTCCGTTACTAGGGCCCATAGACCAAGGACGAGAGCAGAGGCCTGTGAATGTGCGGAATAGAAAGTGCTGTGGGCTGGAGCACAGGGAGAGGGCACACCCAGCCCCCGCGGCCCTTAAATCAGGCTGCGCAAAGGAATCTCCACTTTATAAAGTGCCGATGCCTGGCCCTTGCCCCTGAGATTCCGATTGAATTGGGCCTATTGTTGGTATGTTTTTAAAAAGCTCCCCATGTGAGGCACATTCAGGGTTGAAATCCATGGAAGTAGAGGAAGCAGAGGGACCCATGAGGGGGTGCCATTGCAACTAGCAGGATTTCGGTGGTGAGTAGGGAGAGTGGCATTCCAGGCAGAAAGAAGGACATCAAAAATTGTGGTACATTTACACAATGGAATTCTATGCAGCAGAGAGAAAGAAGGAGCTACTACCTTTTGCAACAACATGGATGGAACTGGAAAGCATTATGCTGAGTGAAATAGGCCAGGTGCTGAAAGACAAATACCATATGATCTCACCTTTGACAAGAAGCTAAACAACAAAACAAACAAGCAAGCAGAAAAAAAAAAACAAAGACACTGAAATAGAGAACAAGGGGATAGTGACCAGAGGGGAGAAGGAAGGGAAGTTAAGGGGAAAAAGGGGGAGGGATTTGGAGGAACAAATAGGAAGGACACAGGGACCAGAACTAAGGGGGGGTGGAAATGGGAGGGAGGTGGGGAGCAAGGGGCGGGGGAGGCTGGGATGGGAAAAATAGACAAAAAACTGTACTTGAAAAATAACTAAATAAAATTAAAAAAAAAAGAAGGACATCAGTAAAAGCAAAAGGACAGGAAGGCAGGGCTTGTGGAGGTTGCTGCTCCGAAGCCCAGCCAGGCCGTGCTGTCAAGACGGAGTGGGACGTGACATGGCACCAACGTACAGGTCCTTGGACACCAGGCTGAGGGTGTTGGCCTTCACTTGGAAGACAAGGAGCATGCAACAGTTATTCTATTTTTATACCCTAATGAGCCTAGTAACAATTCATCGTGCAGCCCATTAGCCAAACAACCTCAGTCAGAGGCTGTTGAATGTAAATCTAGAGGGCCCCCATGAATGTAGAATCGAGTTTACCAGCCAGGGTGTCCGAGTACCTTCCGGGTGCTGCTTGGACTGGGCGTCACAGGAGCATCCAAACACCGGGAACGACCTTGGGAACATCCAGCTGGAGGAGCAGTGCAGAAACGCACACATATACACAGGCACAGGAGCGGTGTCTCTGGGGTTGAGTGAAGGCTGGAGGAGCTGGGACCTGAGCTGAACCCTGAGTGGTAGGGGAGAGGGTCCATCCTGGGCCATTCCTTTGATAATCACTGCTGACGACTGATGGCCCCTGTCCTAGGTCCATGACGTCTGCGTTTGCCAGCACAACACCGCCGGCCCCAATTGTGAACGCTGTGCACCCTTCTACAACAATCGGCCCTGGAGACCTGCGGAGGACCAGAACCCACACGAGTGCCAAAGTATGACTGAGCGGGGTGCTGGCCCCGCTGGGCCTCAGCAACCTCTCCTGGGACACAGAGGAGGCATTCTTTATTATTTAAATTGAATCCTGGTTGCACCCCTGCAATTTAAGCTCTTCTTGCTCTGTGGGGATAAAGACAGTGTTTGGGTTGCCTCCTCCCCCTGCCTCCCCACCCTTCCCTGCAGCCAGGTCTGCGGAGACCAGGGTTTGGTTCGTGCTTTGATGCCACATGGCTTCTTCTTGCAGGTCCTTCCTCTTCTGGCCTCTTCCCTTGCCTTATTCTGTGCAGGACACGTCTGGTTCCCTCCTTCCACCGGTTCCCTAGAGCCAGGGTCTTTCTCCACATAAATGAGGGAAATGGGGGTCCCCAGTCCAGAGAGAGGTCGTGACCCAGCAGAGGCCCATGGTGGCAGTGGGGTTCGGATGGACCATTCACAGAACTCTCTCTTTGGCCCAACATGGGCATTATTCTTGGGTTAGTCCCCACACTTGGGGTCAGGAGGCTGAAGTTCTCACTCTATTCTGCGTCTTTACTTGCCACATAGCATTAAATAAATTGCATAAGTCTCCCTGGGCCTCAGTTTCCCCATTTCCCAGGCCCGAGCATATTGCAGAGTTGCCAGATGTCAATGAGGTAGCGGGGGATGTGAGGGGATGTGAGGGGATCTGCGCCTCACGGACCGCAAAGGCACTGGTCTAACGGCAGCCCTGGGAACTCCTTTTTCAGGATGTGACTGCAACGGCCACTCAGAGACCTGTCACTTTGACCCAGCTGCGTTTGCCAATAGCCAGGGGGCCCACGGAGGGGTGTGTGACAACTGCCGGGACCACACGGAGGGCAAGAACTGTGAGCGGTGCCAGCTGCACTATTTCCGGAACCGGCGCCCTGGTGCCCCCATTGAGGAGACCTGCATCCGTGAGTGGGGGCTCCCCAGGGTACTGTCTGTTCCTCCCCATCTGCTCTGGACACAACCCAGCACATGTCCCCATGGACTCACAAGCCCTCAGGAGGACTTGTGGGCCATTGTTCTAACTTAGCTGTGCACCTCTAAGCAAATCACCTGGACCATCGATTAATCAGTGAGTAGATCGTTGTGATCCCTACTTTGGGCAAAGGAAAGAAAAAAGTAAATGTAAGATATACAGTGCCTATTGTTAAGAGACCCACATACTGTTTGGTAACACAAACCACACACACAGGAAAAAGAAGGGCAGGCACTCTGTCCTTACATGTTATTGCCTTTACAGGCAGCAATGTGGTTTGTTCTGTATTTTTCTATTTTCCCCAAACACTGAGGATTTCTCCATGGCAGAGATCGAATCTTGTATCCTCAGGCCCTAGCACAACAGCAAGCGAATAATTGATGCCCACAGAACGCTGATTGAATAAAGACATGAATTTAAAGCGACAGAACACTCAGGAGTGACCTAACATGTCCACGAGGCCCAGTGGTTCATCCAGGAAAGAGCGAGTTGACGGAAGCCGTCAGATTCGGGCGGGGCTGCTCAGGAAAGGCATTCTAGAGGCAGAGAGTCCGAGTTTTGAAAGGCACAGAAGGGAAAGCGGTCCAGACGTGGTGGGGGGAGAAAGCTGGATCCCTTCCTGTCCATGTTATTTGTTTATGGAAAGAGTGAGAAAAACCTGAGTTGAACTTCTGTTTCTCGCACTTTCCAGCTGTGTGGCCTGAGCATGTTCTTTACCATCTCTGAGCCTCAGTCTCCTCACCTGCCCGGGAGGGACAGTTATCTTCACCTTTCAGGGTTACCATGAGGGTTGCCCAGGGCAACGTGCAAGCGTGCCCGTAGTCACACACAGCAGCTGTTCAGGAAATAACACGATGAAACTTGTATGGCACCTACAATGTGCTGAGCCCTGTTCCCTGCTACATGTACTCTTTCTTTTCCTTACCCGATGACATTTTTTCATTGCTTTTAGAGATAGAGGAAGGAAAGGAGGAAGGGAGAGAGAGAAACATAGATGTGAGAGAGAAACGTTGATTGGTTGCTTTCCATACACACCTATACCAGGGATTGCATGCACCTGCGCCGGGAATTGAACCCACAAGCTTTTGGTTACTGGGCAACACTCCAACCAACTGAGCCACGCTGGCCAGGCCACATTTACTCATTTATCCCTCATAAGGAGCCTTGGAGGGTTGTCTGACTATCCCCATTTTACAGATGAGGAAACTGAGGCACAGAAGGGTTAAATAATTTGAGGCTGTAAGACTGCAAGCCATCATGCAGGAAGTCTGGCTCCTACAATGTGCTCTTAACTCTGTGCTTTTCTTCTTCATTTCTACTGTGGTGGCTGCTTTTGTCACTCAGCCTGCGAGTGTGACCCGGATGGGGCAGTGCCCGGGGTCCCCTGCGACCCAGGGACCGGGCAGTGCGTGTGCAAGGAGCATGTGCAGGGGGAGCGCTGTGACCTGTGCAAGCCTGGATTTACAGGACTCACCTACGCCAACCCTCAGGGCTGCCATCGTGAGTAGGGGGCCCAGGCGACATGGAGCAGGCTGTGGGGGGCCACCAGAATCATGAGTTGCTCCTGATCACTGTGCTGTGTGCCATGTGCTGTGCCACTGACTTCCAGCAGGTGGCAGCACAGGCCCAGTTTGGAAGGTGGGACTGAGCTAGTGGAGGTGGGGCGGGCAGCCAAGCCGGCAGGTGCTGGAACTGGTGGGAATCTCAGCGGCCTTATGAGTCAGCCAGATTATCTGGAGGGATCCGCCTCGCCTGCTTCTTCTCCCAGGTTGATACCCTCTTGGTGCATGATCTCTGGGGGCGAGTTTTTGGTGAGCTGTCCCCTTAGCTCAGCCACCCTCTCCTGCAGGCTGTGATTGCAGTGTCCTGGGGTCCCGGCGGGACATGCCCTGTGATGAGGAGAGCGGCCGCTGCCTATGTCTGCCCAACGTGGTGGGCCCCAAATGTGACCAGTGCGCTCCCTACCATTGGAAGCTGGCCAGTGGCCGGGGCTGCGAGCCCTGTGCCTGTGACCCACACAACTCCCTCAGTCCCCAGTGCAACCAGGTACATGGTGGGGGTGACCCCGTGGGGGCCTGAACAGGAGAGGGGGCTGCCCACCAGCACATTCGTCCCCCATCTATGCTGCCCTTCCGGGCCTTTCCAAAGTCAGGCTGGGCTGCTTCTGTCCCGAGCCCCTTTGGGCAGGCCACCCAGTGTCCCTCCCCCTTGGCTTTGAAGCTCTGGCGATGCCATTCACCACCCCTTCTGCGGGCCCATCTCTGGCTCTGACTTAAGGGCTCGTTTCTGAGTGGGGGCCCTTGTTTGGGGGCCACCACACTAGGGATGGGCCGGGGCTCCGGGAGGCCCCCTCACGGTGCTCTCCCCACAGTTCACAGGACAGTGCCCCTGTCGGGAAGGGTCGGGGGGCCTGACCTGCAGCGCTGCCTCCATCCGCCAGTGTCCCGACCAGACCTACGGCGACATGGCTGGGGGATGCCGAGGTACGAGCATCAGTGGGCATGGGGGCTGCGGCTGGATGGGCATTTGGGTGGGCTCGAGGGGTGGGGGGTGGACTGCGGTATGGGGGACACTAGTGCTGCATATGCTGTGGGCCCCGGTGGCCTTGTGACAGCGCATGGTGTCCCCTACTGCTCCAGCCAGCCAGCTTGGCTTCCCAGCCCTGGGCCAGTGACATGAGGTCATCCCATGTCCCCATGTGGGGGGGTTGCTTTGCTCCCTGAGAAAGCATGTCCCAGAGCCACCTCCAGGGCCCAGCAGGAAGGGGAGAATGGTTCTTCCCTCTTTGCAGAGGGCAAAGTGGGTCCTGAGGGGAAGGCGTCATGGCTCCAGGAACTCAGGTTGGCAGGTCTCCACGAGAGGTCCAGGCGGGGCCTGCTCTCGCTCAGCCTCACTGAGTGACATGCACGGTCGCGCCCCCCCTGCAGGCCTTGGTTCCCTCCTCTGGGGAAGGGGCCTGCCACAGCCAACCTCTCTGTGCCGCAGTTGCCTCATCTATAAAAAATGAGGCTGTCAGGGTGGTTGACTCTGTCGTGGAGAGGTTTGAAGGTCAAGTGAGTTATTGTGTGCATGGTCCGTGTGAGACCTAGACCAGTACCTGTCATGCAGTGGGTGCTAAGGAAGTGCTTGCTTTTGTTGCTAGTGTCACCGTGATTTTATTCTGGCCCCGACAGTCTTGTTCTAATGGAGGAAGACCCTGAGGTCAGACCTCCTCTTCAGACTCTCTCTGCCAGACACCTTGGTCTCCCTGACCCCGGCCTCCTTTCTCCATCCCCTAGCCTGCGACTGTGACTTCCGGGGGACCGAGGGCCCAGGCTGTGACAAGGCCTCAGGCCGCTGCCTCTGCCGCCCTGGTTTGACTGGGCCACGCTGTGACCAGTGCCAGCGAGGCTACTGCAACCGCTACCCTGTGTGCGTGGCCTGCCATCCTTGCTTCCAGACCTACGACGCCGACCTCCAGAAGCAGGTCCTGCGCCTCAATAGCCTCCTCAACGCCACTGCCGCCCTGAGGCTCCGTCCGGGCCTGGAGGACCCTGGCCTGGCCTCCCGGATCCTGGATGCCAAGAGCAAGATAGCGCAGATCCAGGCCATTCTCGGCGGTGCCCCGGCCACGGAGCGGGAGGTGGCCCAGCTGGCCAGTGCCATCTTCTCTCTCAGGTAATCCTCTTTGCCTGCCAAGCCCTTAGAAACACAGCACCTGCGCTCACAGCAGGGGCACCACGGCCTTCATTTACATTGGCAGGGCCTTCGCGGTTTCCACGGCGTCGTCATGTGCGCCCTCTCTTCTAACCACCACCGCAGCCCTGTGTGGCTGCTGTGGTGGGTGTTATCGCTTCCATTTTCAGAAGAGGAAACAGGCACAGATAGATGGTGTGACAGAGACACGTGGCCACTGAGGGGACTCTGAGCGTGGGCTGGAGCCCAAGCCCAGTGTTCTTTCAAGTGCGGTGCTGCCTGTGAGAGTCAGCTTCAGATTAGTCACCCTGGTGGAGGGCACCCGAGAGGCAGGGGCTCCAAAAATAACTTGTATTTGCCTTTGGAATGGGAGCTGCACCCCCATCCCCTCATGAGCAGAGGCGCCTTATTAGTGAGATTTGATTCTGGAAGCTTCTATAATTAGTTTCCATGCCCTGAGCCCTCGCCGACTGTCCGTGCCCAGAGCCGTGCAGGGGTGTGAGTGACCTGAGTCTCACAGTTGAGTAGCGAGTCCATCAGCCCTTGGTAGGCTGGACGTGTGGGCACCGAGGGGAGGTCCATGCCTGATCCTGAAGTTGGTGGATGAGAGGCTGCAAGTTCAATGGCCCCTGGGCAGGGGACCCCCTTCAGGTGGATAGTGGGCAGCAGCTGTGGGAGCTCAGTGGGCAGGTGTGGACTACGGAAGAGTGCCTCGGGCACCTGGTCTGTGTGGGTGGCAGCTGAGGTCAGCCTGCAGGGAGCCCAAGAGGAGGGTCAGGGGTGGGCAGTGGTGGGCATGTGGAGGAGAACTGGGAGTGTCAGAGTCACGCAGTCCAGGAAGGAGAGCTTTTCCTGCATCAGCCTGCAGAGGCGTGGAAGGTGGTTGGGCTGGCCCTCCCAGCTTTTGCCCAGCAGAATCTCCTGTAGCCTGTGGCGCCTGTATCCCGTTACCTCTGCCGAAGGCCTCTCTGTTTTTCCTGACTTACTAGCAGTTTCTCTAAGTGGAGGGCTGGTTCTGGGGAGTCAACCCCCCTATATGTTAATGAGTGCTCCTCTCCTGTCTCAGGCGAACCCTCCAGGACCTACAGCAGCCTCTGCCCCTGGAGGAGGAGGCCTTGACCCTCCCAGGAGACCTGGAAAGCCTGGACAGAAGCTTTAATCGCCTCCTCATTATGTACCAGAATAAGAGGGAGCAGTTTGAGAAGATGGGCAGCGCGGACCCTTCAGGTGAGGGGCGGGGACTCAGATGGCGTGTGCAGGTTCCACACCCTCCCGCTCCTCCACCTCTGGTCCTGCAGGCCGGGGGTGACTCAGATTCCCCCTCTTCTTCCCACAGGAGCCTTCCAGATGCTGACCACAGCCCACCAGCGGTCATCCCAGGCTGCCCAGCAGGTCTCCAACAGCATCCACCGGCTGGGCCAAGTCAGGGACATCCGGAGAGAGGCAGAGAGGCTGGAGAAGCAGGTGGGAGGCGGAGGAGGAGCCAGCGGCCCACAGCTGGCCGCCCTGAAGCTGGAGATGGCTTCCCTGCCTGATCTGACACCCACCGCCAACAAGGTGAGTCAGGCATGGAGTCCCAGTTCCTGGAACCCCCGCCCCGGCTCTCCCACACCTACTGCTTGTACACGTTTCCCGGTAGGACCTACCCTGCTCCCCCACCCACCCTGACCCTTGGCCCCTCAGTAGTTGCCAAGGAAACATGTTTCTGGTGCCCGGTTGCCATGGAGATATCTGGCGATTTGTGTGAGATGGGAGTGGTTGTTGAGGAGCAGTGGACACCCTCTTTGACCACCCCTCTCTGCACAGCTCTGTGGGGGCTCCAGGCAGACAGCCTGCACCCCAGGAGCGTGCCCTGGGGAGCTCTGTCCCCGAGACAACGGCACGGCCTGTGGCTCCCACTGCAGAGGTGCCCTTCCCAGGGCTGGCGCGGCCTTCCGGACGGCGGGGCAGGTGGCCGAGCAGCTGCGGGCCTTCAACACCCAGCTCCAGCAGACCAGACAGATGGTAGGTGCGAGCAAGGTGAGGTGGGCACCTTGGAGGCAGAGAGGACAGAGCCCCCTGGGGACGTCAGCTCCTGTTTTAGTCAGGCGACAAAGGTCCAGAGGTGTCAGGTGCCTTGCCCCAGGCCCCTACAGTGAATGAGAAGTAGACTTTGAGAAGTAGGCAATGTTTTGGGCTTTTATTTTATCTGAGTCCACATTGCTTTTATAATATCTGGGACCAAACTGGGTTCATTACAAATGTTTCCCAGGTAGATCTTGGGTAGCAGGTGTCCGTGGCAGTCTGGGGGGCTGCTGAGAGGCTCCCTTGGGGCTGTGGTGATGGCTGACTTAGCATGTGTCTGCAGATCAGGGCGGCCGAGGAAGCCGCCTCGCAGGTGCAATCCGACGCGCAGCGCCTGGAGACCCAGGTGAGCGCCAGCCGCTCCCAGATGGAGGAAGACGTCAGACGCACGCGGCTCCTTATCCAGCAGGTCCGGGACTTCCTCTCAGGTGAGCCTGGGCTTGGCCCGCTCCCGCTGTCCTGGCAGGACAGCCAGCCATCTCCTTTTCTTGCCTCCATGCACCTGGACCAGGCCCTGTCACTCTGCTGGCCAGCTGCCATGGCCTGTTCTCCCACCTCCCCTCCTGCTCCCTCAGGTCTATTGTCAACAGAACAGCCTAAAGCATCTTTGAAAAATGTGAACATGGGGTCATGTCCCCACTCACGCCTAAAACCCTTCACTGGCTTCCCCTTGTTCTTGGAATGAATTCCCAACTCTTTATCTTGGCCTCTCCTCACCTCCTTGGTAGACGGCCTTGGCTTCCTGCTTTGCTCACTGGCTGTCCTTGAACAGGCCAGGCTCTTGCCTGTCTTGAGATTTTTACTTCTTTCTCTGTGCCTGAAATGCCTTCTCTAAGGCTTCTGATTCTTGCTCTCCAGGTCTCAGCTTAAATATCATTTCCTGGGTGGGGGGGTGCTTTTGTGACCTTGACATCTGGTCGACCCCTCCCCTCCATCCCCTTTGATGTCTAACCTTCATCACACCGGTCCGAGCCTGTGTGGTAGGGCTCCTTTGTATCAGAGTGTATTGTTTGACTCGCCACTGGACTGTAAGCCCCAAGAGGGCAGGGATGGCTTTCCGCCTTATTCACTGCATCACTGGCACCTAGCATGAGGCCAGACACCCAACGTTTGTTGAACAAATAAACAAACTGGATCCCCTCCCATGCCACCCTGGGGAGTGGAAACTTCCTTGGACAGGACTCAGGAATCTGGGTGGCTTTGGGCAAGTTGCTTTTCTCTTTGCCTCATTTTTTTGCTTCTGCAAACCAGGATGGTAGTATTTCACAAGTTTATTCTGGGGATTGAGTAACTGATGTAAAATGTGTTTTGAAAAATTAAAGGTGCCTCAGGAATATGAGTTGATATTATTAGATGTCTGGTCGCTGCCAAGGAATTCACTTGGCTGGGAGCCTAGTTACAAGGAGCTGAGGGCTCAGTGTAATGACGGTGGTTCTTGCTACTACTGTGCTGTCTTTGCTCTCAAGAGGCCAAAGCCCCTCCTGAGTGCAGACAGCAAGTCAGAGAGGGCAGGAGGGACCTGCTGAGGTCCCCGGGCTTCTCTGAGGCCATGCTGGAGCCACGCTCCCACCGGCCCCAGAAGGGGGAGAGTTATCTGGGGATGCAGGGAGGCGGTGCCCAATGAGCATGGGCCAATAGGCTAGGGCAGAGTTTGGGGCTCGCACTCAGGCAGAGCCAGCCTTCCCCTGAGGCTCACCGAGTGAGGCTGAGTGGGCACCCGCCCTGCCAGGGAGTGGGAGGTGGGCGGGAAGTCTCTCCTTGGGGTACAAGGCTCACATGAACGGCAGGGGGTTGCTGGGCTTTGGGGGCCCCTTTCATCCTCTCAGTTATACTTGTGTCTCAGGTCAGGTCCTGTCTGAAGCCAGGGCAGGGAGAAGGAGGGACCCAGGACCGCTCTCCCAGTCTCCAGAGTCCTGGTGCGGGAGGCGTTGGTGCTGTTGGCAGCCAGGGTCACAGAGCGGGGGGAAGCCTATGGAGAGAGAGGAGATATCGTCTTTTTTAGGCCTTCAAATGTAGTTGACAAAACAATAGTTCTGCTTTACTGAGTTCTTCCTGAGTGCCAGGCACTGTTCTAAGCACTCTGCGTGTATAAAATCACTCCATCCGACTGCCCGCCACTTTGCAGGTGAGGACTGCAGGCACAGGGAGGTTAAGTGAGCTGCCTGAGGGCATCGGGCTCCGCTGCCTGCGGGGGGGGTGGGGAGGGCCCATCTCAGTCCGCTGTCCACACTCTGGGTTATTGCACCGTGAGTCACACACACCCCTGTGCACACACCCACACTCTTCTCTCCTTGCTTTTGCTAATGTTTTCCCCCTCCCTGGATTGACCTCCCCGCCCCACCTCTCCTTACCTGCTAATTCCTAAGCATCCTCTAAGATTCCTCCAGGTATCCCACCCTCTAGACACCTCCCTGGACCTGTCAGACTGGGGTAGGTGCCCTTCCGGTGGCCGTCCTAATGCCCTGTGCTCACCCCCTTCACTCAGGGTTCTGCCTCCTTGGTCGTGGGCCTGTCTGTCCCACCAGATTTTGAGCCCCATGAGGGCAGGGACTGAATCTAATGTGATTCTCAGTCTCAGCACCCCCTGTGCTGCTGTTCAGAGGGGTGCATGTTTGCTGAACCCACCCTGAGCCTCAGAGACCTGTGTTAACTGAGGGACACTTGGCCCCAGCCCTTGGGGACAGCTGGAGAGATTCAGGGTAAAGGAAGGTGTGCTCAGTGGGGGGTTTTCTGGGAAGGTGGTCATGAAGCCGGTGTTGTGAGCAGGACTCTGGGTTAGATGGGAGGTTGTTGGTCCTGGGCAGAGGTCCCCGAGGAAGCCGTAGCTGGGGACAAGCCTGCTTCGGTTGACCCACCGCAGTTAGGCCCCCTGTTGCTGCCAGTGTGGCACCCGAGGGACTCGGAAGTGCAGGAGGCATGGCTTCCACCTTCTGGGAGCGTCCGTCCACCTGACCTGGGGACTGGGGCTGGGACCTGTAAGCTAGCTGGTGAGGAAACCCTCTGATTGCAGAGTAAGGCTGGGCCCAGGGTTCCAGGGCCACGGGAGTGTCCAAGTCCCAGGGTAAGCCACCGGAGCGAGGGGCTGCCCCCGTTGCTACCTGGTTGTTATCACTGGCAAGTGAACAGAGAGAGACGGGCTGGAGGTGCCATCTCTGTACTTCTGAGCTCGCTCTCTGCCCTGGAGATGGTTTGTAAGCTTCCTGCTGCTTGCTTGGTTTATTTCATCCCTGCAGATTGAGGACAGTTATTCCCATTTCACAGGTTGGAACCTGAGCTCAGAGAGGCCATTTGACTTGCCCCAAGTTGCCTGACTAGTAACCTGGGTCTGGAGCCCTTCCCGTCACTCATTCACTCTACAAACAGAGTGCCTCCAAGTGCCGGGCACTGTGCTAGGGCCGGGGGAGAGAGCTGTGGATGGAACCCAGGCCCTGCCCTGCTGGAGCTCAGATTCCAGTAGGAAACCAGACAGAAGACCAGACAAATGAGTGAAGTGCTGACTGTGCTGCTGATGAATGCAGTAAAAAGATAAAGCCGAGGAGGAAGATAAGGAGTGTTGGTGTGTGTGTGTGGGGGGGTGACCTTAGACTGGGTGGCCAGGACCAGCCTCTCTGAGAAGGTGACCTTGGAGCTAGGACCAGATTATCTGTATCTGCCTTTGCAAAAATGAGCATCTTGGTCTGCGGAGGGGCAGGTGGAAGGGGTCTTATTGCCCAGGGAGCAGTTCCAGTTCCTGGCCACCCTCCCCAATTTAGGGCCGATTGTGCCTGTGCTCCACACATTGTTCAGGACCAGCTGTCTGGCACCGCCTCCTTCTCCCCAGCCCGCAGTTTCCTGTGCCACCAGACACTTAGTAGCCACAGCTGTGCTGACAGTCATCCGCGCCAGCACGCCGGAAACTCTCCGAGAATGGGCACCTGAGTGGGCCTGAGGGGGAGCGGCAGGGGCTTGGGGCACAGGGCAGAGATGCCACATGGGTGCTTCCCATGGGTCCTGCTGTCCCAGGGCCTCTGCCCTCTGGGGAGGTGGCTGGTGTCCCCCCGTCTGACAGACGGCTGTCTTCTAGACCCTGACACCGATGCGGCCACCATCCAGGAGGTCAGCGAGGCTGTGCTGGCCCTGTGGCTGCCCACGGACTCTGCCACAGTCCTGAGGAAGATGAACGAGATCCAGGCCATTGCATCCAGGCTCCCCAACGTGGACCTGGTGCTGGCACAGACTGAGCAGGACGTCGCCCGAGCTCGCAGGCTCCAGGCTGAGGCGGAGCAGGCCAGGTACGGCCCAGAGCCCTGGGCTCATCCCTGCCCAGGACCGGGCTGGTGTTTTTGCTCCCTGAGTCTGCTGCTGGAAATGAGGGAAGAAGCTCTCCAAGTCAGAGCGGTGGGCTGGGAGACGGGAGGGGTGCTTGCCATGGTGGGTGATGGCAAAGTGATGCGCAGCCTTTGGGCAAAACTTCCCTCACGGTGACCCTTGCCTTCCGCGTTGGAAACCGTGCCCAGGGGGTGTCTGCAAGGGAACACTCCCACTTGTCAGGCCTGCTGGGGAGGGACTTGGGGTGGAAAAGCTGCTGAGTTAACACTCCCCTTGTCTTGGCTGGGAAGTATATTCTCTTGGACTGGTCAGAGAGTTGTACCACACACCCCTTTGTTCCCTGTTCCCTCATTCTCATTTCTCTCCCTTCTTGGCCCCAGGAGCCGAGCCCACGCAGTGGAGGGCCAGGTGGAGGATGTGGTTGGGAACCTGCAGCAGGGCACCGTGGCGCTGCAGGAGGCTCAGGACACCATGCAAGGCACCAGCCGCTCCCTTCGGCTTATCCAGGACAGGGTTGCTGAGGTGAGGTGGTACGGCTTCCTCCCCTCATTTGGGAAATGAACAGATTCAGGCACAAGGCAAACAAGATGCCAGAAAGTGGCCTGGGTGGCAACCGAGACAGGGACCTAAAGAAGGAGGGTTACAGCTTTGACCCTGGCTTTGAGCCTTTGGTTTTCTGGTATCGTGGCCAGGTGCAGAAAGGAGTGGGGGTCTGCTGGGGTGAGGAAGGGGGAGGCTTGGATGCCAGTGGACAGATAGGGGACTGGGAGGGGGCAATAGTGATGTTCTGCTTGGAGGAAGTTATAGCTGCCTGATGCGCTGGGAAAAAGAGGGATCAAGACCACTGCCTGTGAGGCCCGCCACAGACCCAGGTCTCCCTCTCGCCACAAAGGTTCAGCAGGTGCTGGGGCCGGCGGAGAGACTGGTGACAGGCATGATGGAGCAGCTGGGTGACTTCCGAGCACGGATGGAGAAGCTCCGCCACCAGGCCCAGCAGCAGCGGGCACAGGCGGCCCAGGCTCAGCAGCTCGCGGAAGGCGCCAGCGAGCGGGCACTGAGTGCCCAGGAGGTACAGAGAGGCTGCAGTCAGCCCAAGGGAGCACAGCGGTCGGGGCTCCTGGGAAGAGAGGACGCTACCTGGGTGTACACGTGTTCACTTTCTAGGACCATGGGCTCAAAAACAAGCAGAATAACAGTTGTTCTAAAACAACCAGAAGGGGCTTCAGGATTAACCCAGATCTGGCCAGACATCCTGATTCTGCTTCTGGCTGGTCTGGTTGCCGCAGATTCAGAAATGCTGGAAACGAGCTAGTCCAACCCTTCTCCTTTTCCAGATTGAGTGGTAACTGGTTCAAAGCAAAGCTTGTCTACAGAGCAGGTCTCTTGACGCCCATCCCTGTCAGGCTTCCCAGCCAGGACAGGCACTGTTGACCTGTCCTAACTGAGAGCCCCATCACTGTCAGAATTAGACTGGAGGGCAGATCAGAGAGTCTCCCCAATGTCTCCAGTGTAGCAGGAACGTTAGCACCTACGGTCCTGCTACAGTGGCCCAGCTGCCAAGTATACTATTTTTTTAAAGATTTAATTTATTTATCTTTAGAGGGGAAGGGAAGGAGAGAGGGAGAGAAATATCAATGTATGGTTGCCTCTCCTGCATCTGCTGCTGGGAACTGGCCTGCAACCCAGGCATGTGCCCTGACTGGGAATCAAACCGTGATTCTCTGGTTTGCAGACCCATGCTCAATCCACTGAGCTACAGCGGCCAGTGCCCAAGTATACTATTAAGGGACAACTATGTGCCTGACACTGTGTTGGAAGCGAGTGGGAAATGACAGGAACTACAGCGGAAGAGAGGGACATGCAGAACAAATTTAAAGTACAGTTTGTGGCCTAGGAGGATTTTTTTATAGGCAAGACCACTTCAGGGGGGACATTAGAAGGCACCTTATCCCTTGGTGTTGATTTGTGTGATGTCAAGTGCTCTAGCCACAGGTCTTTAGGACTTCGGATGATGATGACAGTGACAGAGTCTGTTCTACTTTTTTCAGGGATTTGAGAGAATAAAGCAAAAATATGCCGAGCTGAAAAACCGGTTGGGCCAGAGCCCCATGCTGGGGGAGCAGGGCAGCCGAATCCTGAGCGTCAAGACGGAGGCAGAGGAGCTGTTTGGGGAGACCATGGAGATGATGGACAGGATGAGAGGTGAGGGGATGGTTGGGGGCATCCCTGAAGGCTGGTCCCAGCCCAGCACTTCTGAGGCTCAGTCTTGCTGGAGCTGGCAGAGCGAAGGGAGCGAGGCCAGCTGGGAGTCCCTGAGCACCTCATAAGTACGGGATACGATGACGGGGCTGTGGGGAGTGTAGAGATGTTTACAAGACATGGTCTGTTTTCAAAAAGCTCGAGATCTGGATGTGGCCATTTTTCCTACAGTTTGTGGGATGCACGACCCTGTGTTTAGCAGCATAAGGGGGTCCGTGATAGGGGCCCAAATGGTAAGAGGCTGGAGAGAAATGCTTAGTGAAGGGAATGTTCAGAGAAGATAAGATTAGATGTGGACTTGAAGGATGCGTAGACCTGGGAGAGGCTGGGAAGAAGGAGAGGGATCTCAAGACAGGGTGAGAGGGAAGGATGAGGTACATTTTGAAAATGCGGCAGGAGCACCCAACGGAAGAGGGGGGCTGAGAAGGGTCAGAACGGGATGGCAAGAAGCAGCAGGGGCTGGTGTGGCTGGTCTGTGCACCTGGCCTCCCCACCTGTGAAAGGGAGACTCAGCCCCAGAGGCTGTAGGGAGCCACCTGAGGGTTTCAAATACGGCAGAGGCTTAATGAAAGATTTCCAAGGGTTCTGAATGTCTCAGAAAGGAGAACAGGGATGGCCAGGACCCAGGTTCGCTCTCCAAGATCCATTGTCCCATGATGGGACAATTGTACTGGTGTGCCAGAGAATGCCTCAGGCAGAGTTTCTCTGAATTTCAGAGAAAGAGGCAAAAATCTGTTTGGCTGACCAGGTGGATACCATAGAGAAGGTTGGGCTGTTGAGTCAACAGTGAGGTGGTGGCCAGCCAGACCTGAAGGGTGAGAGGACAGGAATGGACCTTGATGGTGGGGCCCAGGGGCTGCTGGGTCAGTGGGTGAAGATAAAAAAAATATGCTTCTCAGATCTTTACAACAGATAGTTAATACACTAGAAAAGAGAACCAGTATTCTAAGGCAATCTCGGAAATCTAAAAGGATGGGCTGAAACACTGGGAAATTAAATAAGGAGAGAAGTTGTCTTCCACTCTGGCCTCACTTGGTCCTGAACCCACCAGCACAGCTCAACTGAGGCCTGGATTCTTAGTGGCTGCTGCAGTGAAGACACTTTAACACCAGCAAGTGAGAGGCAAATATGAGCTGTTACTCACCTGAAAATGACTGAAGAGTTTTGAGTAAGTGTATGCTTAATCAAAGTTAGCTGTATCTTGTCATTGACAAAGAGCAAATAAATACAAAGCAGCCAAAATAAGGAAGTAACGGCTCAGGGCTGATATTAAGAATATTTAGAAATTGGTGTGCCATGCACTGACCAACCAGCAAAAGCTCAGGTTGTAGCACTGGAATGGCCATTTACCTGCTTGCAGGAATTAACTTCCAATGGCAGAATTATGGGGGTGAACATGCATAGGGGACCCTCAGGGTGGGGACCAGGAACAGAACAGCAGCTGTTAAAAGTTCAATATTTTATCAACCCACAGGCCCAAATGGGTACCCACTGGCTGAATGGCAGCCCAGTACTAACCCAGTTACACTCCACTGATAGGATGTCCCTGGGGAGGACTGGTGTTCCGTGGTGGCTCCTGCACCGTCAGAAGGGATATCGACAAACCAAATGTCCAGGGCAGAGTGACCAGGGTTGGGAGGTAGAGAAGGACTTAGTCATCACATCAAATACAGAATAGATGAAGCGATTAAGGAGGTTTCATCTGGAGAAGACAAACCTCAGGCATCTGAAGGACTGCAGTGTGAGAGACAGAGAAAAGCTATCCCTACACCCCCAGGAGACAGACTGGACAATCGAGCAGGAAGGCTCTGATTCTGGCTTAATGAGAACACTTCTTTCCTTTTCTCCTTCCTTCCTTCCTTCCTTCCTTCCTTCCTTCCTTCCTTCCTTCCTTCCTTCCTTCCTCCCTCCCTCCCTCCCTCCCTCCCTCCTCCTCCTGCTCTTCCTTCTTCTTCTCCTTCTCGCTCTCTCTCTCTCTCTTCTGCTTAAAGTTGGAGCCTTGTGAGGCAGGGCACTCCTTCCCTATTCCTGGAAAAGCTCAGGCTGAGGCTGGGTCCCAGCCCTCACGAATGTGGTAGAGGGGTCTCCCACCCCATGTGCCAGGAGGGACAGGCTGGATAAGGCCACGGGCTGGTGGTAGGCTGCAAAATATCTGTGGCGTTTCGGGGAGGGAGAGTGGGGAAGCACTCTGGCTGCTCAACCAGCTCTTTGCCATGGCATCCACCTGAGGATCGCTGGTGGGATGGCAGCTGTCCGGGGCCAGCGGCAGCAGGCTGCTAATTGTGGTACCAGTGGCCACCCTCATTAGTCTGGGACAACTGAGGGAGCCTAGAGCAGAGGAGAAGGGTAGGGGCCATGGGATAATTGGGATGAGGGCTTCCTGGGCCTGGCTTCTGGCACGTGTGAATGGGGTAGGGCTGGACGACTGTGGGGCTGGAGAGGGCTGACCTTGAGGAGGATCCCCCAGAGGTGAGTCCTCCTGCAGGTGCTGTCTCCAGGTGGGCGGGAGGAGAAGGAGGGGTTGGGAGTCTCTGGGGACTCACCAGCCCCACCTCCTCCCCCTGCTGTTCCATCTGCCCTCAGACATGGAGTCGGAGCTGCTGAGGGGCAGCCAGGCCATCACTCTTCGCTCAGCAGACCTGACAGGGCTGGAGAAGTACGTGGAGCAGATCCGCGACCACATCAACGAGCGGGTGCTCTACTACGCCACCTGCAAGTGATGCTCCAGCTGCCAGCTCCCTGGGCCCACACACCTGCCCTCTCTGCTTTGGGGGACAGACTGGTTTGGAATGCTTTCCAGCTCCTTTTATGCAGCTGAAAGCACCTCCTGGACCACCCCTGGTGTGCAGGAGTAAGGTTACTCTGGGCCACAGCTGAGCCTGAGCTGACGGGACTACCACATTTGAGGGACAAGGGATGGCAGAGGTGAGCCCTGTCACCTCTGTCATGTGATCAGAAACTCCCAAGTGGAGGGAGCTTGGCTGGGCTGTGTCCTCGCTCTGTGTTCTCCACTGAGGCTGAATTCTGGACCAACACAAAACTTAACCCAAGTGATATACAAACAAAAACGCCTAATAAAAATCTTTGGAAAGGATTCTAGAGGTTCAAAGTGGGAAAATCGTGTGTCTTCTATTAAGTAAACCTTTAGCACCTGTTTCTGTCACCCAAGGCCTGGTGGTGTAGGAACCACAGGCTGCTCCACTCCGCTCAGTCCAGCTTGCTCATCACCCCAACTTGGGGAGATAGGGCCCCTCTGCCCAGGGCCTGATGGATTCCATCCAGGAGGGACTGGAGGAGCCAGTTCACCTTTGAACGATGATCTAGTCTCATATTTACAGGTGAGGAAATAGAAACCCAGAGAAGCGAAACAAGGTGCCCAAATTCACACAGGTTTCAGAACCAAGACCAGAACCCATGTGTTTTGGGTTCTCAAAGAGAAGTTGTAATGGACATGTATTTGTGTGTGTTTGGGGAGGTGGATAAGGAAATGGTGAGCATTTGTGTGTGGCCACAGCCCAGGCACTGTGCTAGGCATTTGTCTACATGGACGTCTTGATCGCTATTGCTCACTTTTTGATACGGGGTAAGACATATTTCATGATGTAAGTGTCACCGTTGTCTTCATCCAACAAGTGAGGAGACCAAAGTGGCCCAAAGGACTTCCCCAGGTCACCGGTGTGGCAGGACAGGGCTGGGCCTCAACTTCATGCTCATCTAATACAGTCAGTAGGACAATGGACGCTGGAGCTGGACCACCTGGGCTTCAAAAGGTTACGTGAGGAGTAAATGGGTCAGAATGTGTAGCTCCTCCCTGGGTGCCTGGCATCCCACGTGCCCCTTCCATGTCTGCTAGATTCTACCTGGCCTCCAGCTCTCCACGCCCTTTCCGCTCCGCACATACTTATAAGTCCCTGAGCTGCTTCTGACCATGGGAAGAACCAAACAAAGCTTCGTAGAGAAAAATATGTCCATTTTATTGAGCACAACACTGAGCATGAAGCTGGGATGAGAGATCAGGTGGCAAGAAAATGGGATGAACAAGAATGATGCACCTGACCTTTAGAAAGAGTGAGGGGAACAGAGGCAGGATTAGAATTGCTGCTGAAATGAAAACAGTCAGCTCCCAATTTTTACTTAATTGGGTGTGTGTGGAGGGCATCTGGCCAGGATACTAACTCCTTACAGTACTCAGTCTCGGATTCCTAACTTTTTCTCCTGGGAGGGTGTGGCACTGCCTTTGGACAGGGGCAGGGCGGGAGGAGGCTCAGAAGTGGGCCCCAGGTAGGCTGGAGGGGGCTTGGCACAGTTGGGAGCTAATCCTGGAGTTAAGGATTCAAATTGTGAGCCCTCACAGGCAGATCGTGGAGCTGCCTGTCATTCATGCAGATGGGCAGGCGACTACACCAATGGGCCAGTCGGTTCTGGCTGTGAGGATGGAGGCCTGAGGGGCAGGAATGAGTATGTGCTGAGTGAGCAAGGAGTCTGGGGCGATGCTCCTTATGGCTTTGCTCTGAAGGCGACACAGCCTGGCCAGCCTGTTAAGCTTCTCACGACAAACAACACAGACCTGGGGAAAAGCTACCTACGCACACTGTACAGACCACAACACGCAGGGTGTGGGGCACAGAGCAGGCAGGTCAGGGAGACCTGGAGGCCAGCAGATGCCACTCCTCCTGCCTGCAGTTTCCGAGAGACCTCCGCCCCTGAAGGCTCATGGCGGGGCCTTTGGTGAGGGTCTGTCCCACGTGGCAGCAGTCGGCTGCTTCTGATCAGAGACTGTCCCCGCCAGGTCCTGCTCTGCTTGCTCCCCTTCCTCCTGCTGCACAGTAGACCCCAGGTTCTGAAGGGCAGAGATGAGCTGACAATTGCTCCTGTAGAGGAAAGGGCTTCAGGGTGGGGTGGGGCCGACACCTCTGGTACCCCTCTGGCCCCATCATTCAGACTCTGGGATGGGGCTTTTCTTCTGGGACAGAAGCTCCCCCACCAGGTTCCCTGGCCCCCACCTGGCCCTCTTGTCTCTAGTCCCCTCACCTGAAAATTGCAGTGATACAGGCACAACCCCCAGAGATCACATAATGAGACAGACTCCGGTCTGCCCTGCTCGGCAGTGGGAGCTGCCGCTGGCTTTGACTGGTACCATGACCTCAGATTTGAAGTTCCTGGAAAGGAAATGTAGTAGCAGCAGGCTATGACATATTGGGGGAAGCAAGAAGAGCCCAGATAGTTTTCAGCCCTTCCTTTATGAAGTTCAGAAAGCACTAGCACTTGTGGAAAAGACACACAAGACAACTAGACCCCTTTCTCCCCCCCAAAACATGGAGGCCCTGGAAACTCAAGGAGTCTACTGTTTACCATTCACATGTACCCAGTTTTCTGCAGACATTTATCATTCCTGCTGCTTCACTAAACTTTTACAGTACCTCTGTGAGGCAGCCTGAGCAGGCACATATAATGCAATTAACCCCTCTTACAGATGAGCAAAATAGAAGGAGAAATTAGCTGGTGATCAACCACCACACAGCTAGTGGGTGGTAAGGACAGCCTCTCCCTTGGCCCCTGATCCAGAGCTCTTCCTGACCTCTGGGGCTTCCTCAAGTGGGAAACATCCTTTGGTCAATTTATTTTAGCTTGTTGCCTGAGTTCTTTCGGACCCAGACTGAGCAGGGCTGGGCCTCTGTCTTCGAGGGAAAGTACGTACTGTTTTTTGTTGGCCCTTTTGAGGAGCGTGGGTTCGGAGCAGTAGCAGGACTTCCCTTTGCTCCCGATGCTCAGGCAGCTGGAGCAGCAGCCACAGGGCCCAACGGCCAGGGCCCCCTGTTGCATGGGCACCAGACTGCTGCTGATGCGGAGGGAGCCATTGACCAGGCAGTTGAGGGATTTGGGGCCTGGGGTAGTGGGCTGGGGGCTGTGCTGGCAGGATAGCTGGGTCAGGGCAGGGAGTGCTGCCCTCTGGTCCAGGGCGGGGGTGTTGGTGATGGTGATCTCAGGGGAGCTGGGTCTTGAAGCTTCTGAGGCTTGATTGACAGGAGGTCTGTTCTCCACCTCTGGGCGGATGCCTGGACTGTGCAAGTTCATGTGCAGCTTCCTCATGTGGTGTACCACGGCTGCTGCATTGAAGGCTTGCTAAGGAGACACAGCACCGGCCATTTCCACTTTCAGAGGGTCACAGAGCTTAAGCTTTCCCTCTGCCCTGTGGCCTCTGGAAACCAAGGTGCCTGCTTCTCCTTCCAGAGGGGGTCCAGGGAATTCCAGTGTCTGCTGGAAAGCCCCAAGGAAAGCCCCTCCATCATCCCTTGCCCCAGCCCATCCTTCAGGCACCTCCTGGACAGGACAACTTACCCTCCATTTGCTTTTGGCAAAGTTCTTCTGGATCTGAAGGCTGACTGATGGGTATATGTCCCGGTGGAGGGCTGTGTTTCCATTAATCCTGTGGATGCAGAGGAGACACCTGGATAAGTGGTTGGCTATGGGACTCAACCAGGAGTTGGGCAAGGGACTGTGCAGGTAGGTCCAGGTTAAGCTAAATGGAGTGCCCAAGGAGAAGGGTGGCCACAGTAAAACAAGCTGGAATCAGAGCTCCTCTGTTCCCTGGGAGGTCATTAGGGGCCTATGCTTTGGCAAAACCAAAGGCTTGCTTTAGAGCAGGATCAGGAGACTCTGGTGTGTAAACCAAATCTGTCTATTTCCTGCTTTTGTAAATAAGGCCTTCCTGAGACCTGCCCCCCATTCATTCAGGTATGGCCTGTGGCTGCTTCCATGCTACACAGGCAGATTGACTAGTTCCTACAGAGGCAGTATGGCCAGCAGAGCCTAAAATATTTGCTACCTGGCTTTTTATAAAAACAAACAAACAAACAAACAAAAAAACCAAACAAAAAAAACCTTTACTGAGTGTCAGAGGGCGCACGATTTGTCATTATCTGTTAGCTCAGAACTTTGCTCATAACCCACCTCCTCCTGGAAGCCTTTTTACAGTGAGGCCACCCAGGATAGGTTACCCTTCTCCTGTCCCCTCAGCCCCTCAGTCACTTGTCTCTAAGCGTTCCCCAGACACCTGCCACGTGCACAGTACTTGCTAGGTACTAAGGAGCCCAGAGAAGTATTGTAGCAGATGGGGTCCTGATCCCTAGGGCTTACAGTGGAGGGCCAGAGCCTTGCTTCATGCCGTGACCCAGAGTAATTCATGGTGGGCTCTGTAATTGATAGTGAGAGATGGGGAGGCCTGCCTGGACTGTGGGAGCCAAGGCTTCAGGAAAGGGGAGAGACTATTCTGGATCCTGAAAGATGCTACGCACAAGGCAAGAGGAGGACATTCTAGGTGGTGAAAATGGCATAACCCAAGGTATAATTGCAAAGGGTTTGGTATATGGGGTAGGGGAAGGCAGGGAGAGGGGTATAGCTCTTAGGCATTTCTGGACCAGAGAAGGTGTGTTGGGAATCCTGGGAAATTCAGTTGGAGGTCAGGGCACATTAGGGAATACCTGGAAAGACAAAGGATTCTGGGCTTGCTGTGGTAGGAAATAGGGAGCCATTGTAAATTCTTGAGCAGGCATGTAGCAAGAAAAAAGGAGGCATTTCAGGACTTTACTTACCTACTCTATGAATTGGGATTTTCTCAGATCACCTCATATGTAACAGGTTTTGACCCCAAAGAGAGCAAAAAATGATTCTCTTAATAACAGGGCAGAGCTGCATGTGCCTGGGTGCCTCTTGGGTAATGAGTACTGGGTACCGGTGCCAATGACAGGGCCCCACTGCCTCTGTCTTCTGCACTTGACCAGGTGACCCAGTTGCCACCCTTGGGTCAGAACCCACTTAATTAAATACTGTTTGCATCTCTAGCTGGGCCAGGTGAACACTTCTACACTCTGTGGATGCCACAAGAGTAAACAGCTCAGGGCAAGCAGAGTCCAGGGAAATACATCTTGCGAGCAGGTCAGCGTGACATTTGGGGAGCCACTGGCTGGCTGGGGCTAGGAGCCACCCCACCCCTCACTCACCAGGGGTGCCTCAAGGCCTTCTCACAGGTGTACCGCTCATTTGGGTCCTTCTCCAGCAAGTGGCAAATAAAATCCTTGGCTAAGAGGAGCAATCAAAGACACA